TACTGTTGAGAATTTTGAATTTGAACTTGAAAATGTCTGAATAGATTCTGTGTTTTTAGAATCTGAAAGTTTTTACTTCTATATTCTCACTTAAGGTAAAAATCCAGATCTCTTTTAACATTTAATAAACGTTCACACCTGGAGGTTTCTTTGTAGCCTCAGTATCTGAATCTAATACCAAACCAATCTTTTCCTCCACAAACAAATCCCTATTCCCATTATTATTCTTACAATTCTTGAATTCTTGGAAAAATTTTTAAGGACTATCTTCCCATTGCTGTTATTATTGACAGGTTTTGAATTTTGGAAACGGATTCCTCTCAGTCATTTCACATAAACATTGCCATACTACAACTTATTTATTTCTTATAAAAGTCAATCTTTTGCTCACTGTTACTTTTCACAAGACTGTTGTTACTCTTTTTCTTAATTATAGTAATAGCTTTTTATGTAACTACTCTGTCATAAAAAAAGCAAGTACTACTTTTAAGTCCTTGTTGGCCTTTCCAAGCATTATACCTATCTTTCTAAAATACTGCTTGTTTGATTCTCCTGTGTGTGTCTCAGTTGTGTACCATTTTAAGTCAGTACTCATTTTCTAATTTTTAATTGGGATCTCCTAGTTTTTAATCCACTTTTCCTAATACCTACCAGTTGCTTCACTGTCCTACAGAGTTACCAGTGTTCAGAGTATTTTTATTTCAGGCTTCCGACTTTATATTGATTCTCTCATTCACTCACCTATAATGGTTTGCCCTTACCATGGTGCTTATTTAAATTTTACTAAGCCTAATTTAGTTTGTGGCTCTTTCTCTGTTGTTCTGATATTTAGTTTTTATTGGAGTAAAATTCAGATAGCAAAATAACTTTTAAAGTTTACAATTCAGTGGCATTTAGTACATTCACGTTGTTGTGTGACCATCATTTCTATCTAGTTCCAAAACATTATCATCAACCCAAAAGAAAACCTCGTGCTCATTTCAAAAGTCATTCCCTATTTCTTCCTTCCCCAAGCCATTGGCAATCACTAGTCTTTTTTTTTTTTTTTTTGTCTCTGTTGATTTACCTATCCTGCATATTTCATATGAAAAGAATCATACAATATGTAAACTTTTGTGTTGGGTCTCATTCTCTTAGCATAGTGTTTTCAAGGTTCATGCATATTGTAGCTCATATCAGTATCATATTCCTTTTTATGGCTGAGTAATATTTACCTATATTTCTATACTATTGAAAATATTGCCCGGCCAGTATGGCTCAGTGATTGAGAGTCGTTCCATGGACTGAGAGGTCCCGGTTCGATTCCCAGTCAGGGCACATGCCTGGGTTTCAGGCTCGATCCCCAGTAGGGGGCGTGCAGGAGACAGCTGATCAATGTTTCTTTCTCACATGGATGTTTCTTATCTTTCTCTCCCTTCCTCTCTCTCTCTAAAAAGATCAATAAAAAAAGGAAATATTTGTTATATACTGTTTGAAATAAGTAGATAATTCAAGATATTAAGTGTAATTCCCAGAGAAATCACTAAAAACTAAAATATATGCTATATAGATACGTACAATATAATATATAATGTAATGGATACACACATCTTGTTCATGAATTCTTCCATCGAGGTCATTTGGGTTGTTCTTTTAGATATTGTGGCTAGTGCTGTTATGAACATTCATGTACAACTATTAGTTTGAATACATATTTTCAAGTCTTGTGCATATACCTAGGTGTGGAATTAATAGATCATATGGTAATTTTTTTTTTAGTCCTGAGGAAATTTTACCATTTATCTTCAGATAGAGTTGGGGGGGGGGGGAGAAAGAAAGAGAGAAACATCGACAAGAAAGAGACACACACACACACATCAATTGGTTGCCTCCCTCGTGACCCTGATCAGGGCCAGGGACCAAACTGAAATTGAGGTATGTGCCCTTGACTGGAATCAAACTCGATACTCTTTGGTCCATGGGCTGACGCTCATGCTGCTGAGCCAAACTGGCTAGGGCTCATGTGGTAATTCTTTGTTTAACTTATTGAAGAAGTACTCATTGGTTTTCCAGAGCACCTACCCCAATTACATATAAGTGTGAGGGTTTGTCTACTTTGCTAAACAAGGCCCAATGTGTATGAATCCCAACAGTTATTCGACTTATAATTAAATAGCTACCATTATTATGCCATTATCAAGAAATTATAGATGTGCCCTAAGGGAGAAACCAAGAGCAAATGAAATAGAAGTAGTAATCAAATACATATTAGAATATGACTTACCCGAACTAAAAAAAAAGTTTTTTAAGAAACCTCACAAAGCACTTGCCAAAATAGAGATCCAGTCTTAGACATATGATGATAGATATTTTGAATTAATATTTAGAAAAAAATTGTACATTTGATTAAAACAACAAAAAGGCTGTTCTTTGATTTTCTCTTTTAGAATATTAAATGACAGAAGACAGTCAATGTTTAGACTTTGGTTTTATTTCTCTGCTAATAGTTTAGTTTTTTAAGAGCTACAGCTCTTTTTTTTTTTAAATCCTCACCCAAGGACACTTTTTGCATTCATATTCAGATAGAGCGAGAGGGAGAGAGGGAGGAAGAAAAAGAGAGAAACATCAATGTGAGAGAGACACATGAACTGGTTGCCACCCACATGACCCCAGCTGGGGCCGGGGACAAACTGCTACTGAGGTATATGCCCTTAGTGCGAACTGAACCCAGGTCTCTCTGGACCACGGGCCAATGCTATAACTGCTGAGCCAAACCGGCCAGGGCAGGTACAGTTATTTTTTTTTAAATGTTTGAATACTACTGATGTATATGATGTGAAAATGAAGTCCTTCTCTTTACATTCTCCCTCATTGTCTGCTGCTGATCCTGGTCTGTGGAGTAACTACTTTTACTTTGGTATTTATCCTTCTAGACCTTCCCCCATATATAACAAACATAAAAGGATTTTTTTAAAAAATTCTCACCCGAGGATATTTTTCTGCTTATCTTCAGATAGAGTGGGAGAGTAGGAAAGAAGAGAGGGAGGGAGAGAGAAACATCAACATCACAGGGACACATTGACTATTTGCTTCCCACATGACCCCAGCCAGGGTGGGGGACGAACTGTTACCAGAACCGCAACCAAGGTACATGCCACCTTGACTGTAATTGAACCCATAAGTCATTGGTCCATGTGCAGACGCTTTAACCACTGAGCCAAACCAGCCAGGGCACAAAAGGATTTTTTAATTTGTTTTCATTTTTAAGTAAAATTAGTGTAATATTAATATACATACTATGCAATTTATAGACTGCCCACCAGATAGTCTGAGTCTGACTAAAATAAAAATGAAGGATTCTTTTATAAGTTGGGCTACAAAAGAACACCTTCCTAGAAAAACTAACTTGAAATATTTTAGTCACAGAAAGGTAAATCCGTATTAAGAATAAAAAATTATGCTATATATCCTTGGGTGTCAATAATATTTATAAATAACTAAATCCTGTGGAAAATCTTCATCTTGGGAATCAGGTAATTGCTTGGGCTTTATCAGTGGACTTAAATAAGTTGGAAAGTTTGGGATCTACTTTAAACTGATGACTTTCTGAAAGAAACTTTAAAAATAAATAAATAAATAATACCATTTTTAAAAATGATATGTTCATATTAGATATATTCTCTCGAGGAGCTCTTCCATAGGTCTCATGAATAGAAGTTTAGTTTATAAGTTTTGAAATTATACTTAATATAAAATGGCAGTAGCAGTAATGGTAAAAAGAATTGACTGCCCAGCTTGGTGGATCAGTTGGTTGGAGCATCGTCCCATAGACCACAAAGGCTGCAGGTTTGATTTCTGGTTCCATAGCAGTCATGGTGTGTACAGGAGGCAACTGATGGATGTTTCTCTCTCTCTCTCTCTCTCTCTCTCTCTCTCTCTAAATCAATAAACATATGCTCAGGTGAAGATAAAAAATAAAAAATAACTGAATATCACATCTGTGCCTTAGTAAAAGACTTAAAGGAAATACAAAGAAAATATGCATGTGGTAATGTGATAACTTTAATTTTTTTTTTCTTTCTGCTCTGTCTTCATTTTTCAAATTTTCTGTGAATATGTATTTTGGCAAAATATGTGATCAGGCAGTTTATGTAAGTAGTACAAATGATTAATAAAATAATTTCATTGACAGATGTTAACACTAACAAGGTAACATTTTTGTCAAATTATTAAAGAGTAACAGAATAATGAAATTAAATGTTTCAAGGAGTAATATTATATGAATACCTATGTAAGTGCTATTGAAAGTATTAACTAGCAAAACCTTTCTGAGAAACAGTTAGACAAGAGCCTTAAAAGTGTACTCTGTTTTAGGCATTCTATATCTGTGAATTTTACCTAAGGAAATAATCTGAAAGAAAAAAAAAACCTCACAATGATTAATTGCAGTGTTATTTGACTATAGCAGTACATTGAGAAACATTGATATGTCTACCAGGAAAGTGGTATATATATATGATATCATTTTATATATATACATATATATATATGGTATATATTGATTCAATATATTATACATATACTCATAGGTAGTACTGCCAAGGTATCTTTATGACTTACAGATATGCTTATTATAACTACTACATAATTCTCTGTGAGAAAGTTAAGTGTGATTGCAGCTATGTTAAAAATAACAGAAAAACAGTGTACATATTCAGAAATGTACTGGTTTGTGAGCAAACATCCTCAGTTCTAGGAGGAAAAAAGCGAACGTTAGAAAATTAAGAGTGTTTACCTGTCGATATCAAGTTCAAGGTCATTTTAGTTTTCATTACAATTTTTTGTATTTTTCAGATATATATTTTACTATCTGTTTGCCTTAAAAGATAATTTTTTTTTTTTTTTGCTGTTAGCCATCTTTAGAGGATCCTGTTACCTGTGAATTTCTTGTTATGTATGCATGGGTTTTATTTTAATGCCATACCACCACTTGATTTCTGTATTGTTTTTGCTTTTTATAGGCCAAGATAGCCAGGTTGACAAAACGCGTTGGAGCAGCTCAAGAAGATCTTAAGAAAAGACAAGAAGTAAGAATTTTTGTTCTTGCACAATTAATATTTAGGCCTAAGTGATAATCTTAGGAAATGCTAAGTTAGGAGGAAAATCTTTCTTTATTACAGGTCTGAAATTTGCTTTTATACTCTGTACTTCCTGTATATTGTTTCTGGCACTGTAACTCTAGAATTTATTTTTATCCCTTTTCTTTCTTTCTTTTTTTTTTTTTTAATCCTCATCCAAGGACATTTATTGTTCAGGTAGAGTGGGAGGGAGAGAGAGGAAGAGAGAGAGAGAGAAACATCGATGTGAAAGGGACACATCGAGTGGCTGCCACCCGCACGACCGACCAGGGCCGGGGACAAACTGCAACCAAGGTACGTGCCCTTAGCGGGAACCGAACCCGGGTCTCTCGGGACCGCAGGCCGACGCTCTAACCGCTGAGCCAAACTGGCCAGGGCTTTATCCCTTTTCTAATCCTTATTTACTGTTTTCATAATTCAACACTTATATTAATTAATTTTATCTTATCATTTTTGAAGCTGTGTTTTCTATGCATCTTTAATACTGTTTTTTGGAATTTTTCTTACCATGTTTCTTTCTTTTTACATTCTTGCCAGCGTCCTAGTCTCATCCCTTACCATTTTCCCCAAAGTATTTTAGTTTTCCACTGCCTTCAGTGGCCCTGTTCTCTCCTTCCTTTCTTATGCTATGTAAAGTTCAAACATCGTAGCATAACATAAACTCTAGTCTGTAGTCTAGCCCTGCTTTTTGTTGTTTCCTTAGTTACTCTGTAGTAAAAAAGATTTTTAATATGTTTTCATTGATTTTTAGAGAGAGATGAAGGGAGAGGTAGAGAGAAACATCAATTAGTTAGTTGCCTTCCACATGCACCCCCATGAGAATTGAGTCCAAAACCTGGGGATGTGCCCTCATCAGGTATTGAACTGGCTACTTTTTGGTACAAGGGGATGCCACTCAATCATCTGATCCACACTGGCCATAGCATGTAGTACATATTTTTAATATAGCATTTGTATGTTGCTTTATAGTTTTCAGTTGAATTCCTTTCTCTTCCTCTTGACTTTTTTTCCCTCTGGGCAATTTACATTTTTTGTATCTTGATAGTTCCATTGTCTGGCACACGATAATTGCCAATAATGATTATTTCAGTAATAACCACTATTCCTATAGGATTTTTCTTATTTTTTGTTGTTAATTCTCACTCAAGGTATTTTTCCAATGATTTTTAGATAGAGTAGGAGGGAGGGAAGGGGAGTGAGAGAGAGAAAGGGAAAGAGAAAAAACATTGATATGAGAGAACACATTGTTTGGTTGCCTCTTGCATGCACCCCCAACTAGGGCCAGGGATTGAATCTGCAACCCAGGTACGTGCCCTTGACTGGGAATAGAACCTGAGACCCTTCAGTCCTCGGGCCTACACTGACCACTGTGCCAAACCCGCCAGGGTGGATTTTTCTGTCTAGATTCACTTTCATATCTTCACTAGATTTAAAAATTTATTGTGAAATAACTGTAGACTCACAGGAAATTGCCACAATACATAGTTATACATGTGAACCAATCCTTCACCCACCTTTCCCCAGTGGTGAAGTGTTATATAACTGCAATATCAAAACCAAGGAATTGGTTTAATTCTCTTAATTAGTTTATAGACCTTATCAGTTTTTACATGAAGTAGCCAGTTCCAAAAAGTAGCCAGTTCAATACCTGATGAGGGCCCATCCCCAGGTTTTGGATTCAATTCTCATGGGGGTGCAGGTGTGTGTGTGTGTGTGTGTGTGTGTGTGTGTGTGTGTGTATGTGTGTGTGTTGTTCTGCCTAATTTAATTTTATGTATAGATTTATGTTATCCCACAAGATATCAAACTGTTCCATCACCATAAAGGCACTCTCTCTGCCTTCTTAATAGTTTCAACCTTATCTTGTACCCCCATCCCCACTCACTCCCTTGTCTCCTGGCAGCTGATACTTTGTTCTTTATCTCTATATTGTTTTTTACTTAACTTAAAAATATGTTTTTCTTTATTGATTTTAGAGAGAGAGAGAAAGGGAGAGGGAGAGAAATAGAAACATTGGGATGAGAGAAAACATCAATTGGCCACCTCCTACGTGCTCCCCATTGGGGATTTGTTCACAACCTGGGCATGTGCCCTGATGGGGAATGGAACTGGCGACATCTTTGTGCATGGGTCAATGCTCAGCCACAGAGTCACACAGGCCAGGAACTCTGCTATCTTCTTTCTATTCTTGGACTCCCATATTCATGTATTGGTTCATTCAAAGTATCTTATAAATTCTAGGCTCTCTCCACTTTAAAATATTTTTTAATTTTTTTCTCTGTAACTTAATAATTTTAAATGACTTTTCTTCAAGTTCACTGATTCTTTATTTTGCTTGGTGCAATCTGGTGTTGATCTCCTCTAGTGAATTTTTTTTTCATTTCAGTTTTCCTTTAGCTTCAGAATTTCTGTTCCATTTTAAAGTTTCTCTTTGTTAGTGTTCTCATTTTTTTCATGCATCATCTCCCTAATTTTATTTAATTTTCTGTCTGTATTTTCGTTTATCTCATTGAGGCATCTTAATGTCAGTTTTTTGTTTCGTTTTGTTAATCTTCACCTGAGGATATTTTTCCATTAATTTCCAGATAGAGTGGGGGTGGGAGGGGCAGGGGTGGAGAAAGAGAGAGAGAGAGAGAGAAACCCTGATGTGAGAGAGAGACATCAATTCATTGCCTCATATACAACTGCAACCGGGGCCGGGGATTCAACCTGCAACCCAGATACATGCCCTTGACTGGGAATTGAACCCGCAACCCTTTGGTCCACAGGCTGACACTCTAACTGCTGAGCCAGGGTGTCAGTTTTTAAAAATTCTTTGTTAGGTAATTCATAGATCTTTGTTTCTTTAGGGTCAGTTCCTAGAGATTTTTTTCTTTCATTGGGCTATATTTTTCTGTTTCTTTGTGTGTCTAGTTCTCTTTTGCTGAAATATGGGCATTTGTAAAAACAGCTACCTCTCGGCTTTTCATAATGTCTTCATACAGAGGAACACCTTTACTAATCAACACAGGTGGATAATCTGGGATCTCTCAAATCTTTTATAGAGATTCTTTGTCTCTGAACTTGTGCATGTAAATCTCCCATCTGAAGAGGTTTGTCTGTTTATAATATGGAGCTCCCTCTGGTATCTGTCTTCCATATTGCAGTGTTGGTTTTGTAAGCCATGATTTTGGAAGTCCCCCTGCTGTCTGTCTGTGTATATAGTTATTCTGTTGTTGTACCAAGCTGAAAATCCTGGCTGTGTTCTTATCTGGACTCTAGACATTCAGTGTGTGCCACTTTCTCCAGGTCAGGTGAGACAGAAACCAGTACCTTGGGTAGTTCCCCAAAAAGCCAGAATATTACCTGCATGTTACACTTTTGTCTTTCTTTCCTGAGGTAAAAGCTACAAGTGGGGAATTTTCTCGTGATTGTGCCATCTTTTGTTGGGAGGGGGATGGGTTATGGTGGGGCAAGTGCAGTAGACCCTTCTAACCAATATAGTGCATTTATACTTCTTAGCCTTGCTCTTGCTTGGAATGTAATAACCTCTGAATTGTTTCTGGAGTTCTCACAAAGAAAATTTGGACTGTATATTGTTAAGTTATTGTCTCGGTGAGAAATGGAAGGTGTGTGGGGCTTTCTAGTCTGTCATTTTGCTGATGTTGCCAAACAGTAATGTATAAGGTCCTTTGTTTAATGACTCCATACTATGTTCTAGGCCAGTTGTATTTACTGGTTTATTATGCTTTACTCCTTTTTTTTCTTTTGGTTTGTCTTCCTGAAATGTTTCTTATCTTCATCTTAACTATTTTGAGTGTAGTAATTACTCAAAAGTGCATTTGGGGGAAAAAGTGTTTTTCCCCCAAAAGTTGAAAAACATTTTTCCCATTGACACTACACTGTTATTTTAATATGCTATTCTATTGATTTGAAATGTGTTTGTGTCCATAGCCAGATTTCAGACACCTTTAGAGCAGTTTATTTTGATTCTATCATTTGTCTATTTATATACATAACTAGTATAGTGCTATCATGGTTGGTTAAAATTATCTTATTTCCTTATAAAATGCAGCAGGATATATTTGCTGTTCAGAAGGGAAGAGTGATTTTTTAAAAAATTTTTATTATTATTTTTTTAATCCTTACCCGAGCACATTTTTTGCATTTGTCTTGAGGGAGAGAGAGAGGGAAACATTGATGTGAGAGAGACACATTGAGTGGTTGCCACCCACACAACCCCAACCAGGGCCGGGGACAAACTGCAACCGAGGTATGTACCCTTAGCAGGAATTGAACCTGGGCCTCTTTGGTCCGCGGGCCAACGATCTAACCGTAACTGCTGAGCCAAACAGGCCAGGGCTAGTGGTATCTTCTTGATGTGATCCTCAGCACTTACACCTTTGGTTTTAACATGTATTATTATTACACTTAATTAAGTCTTGAGTGGAATTATTTTGTTTTTGTCAATTTAATATATATACATGGTGATAGTGTCATAAATGATGGAGACCCAAATAATGGTAATTAGCATGTAGATATTACAGTTTCATTTCTATGTTCCCTGTTTTGAGGGAAAGGCTAAATTTAGTTGGTAAGTTTAGAACTGAGACATTTTTATGAAATTCTCACACAGTGACAATTGGTCATTTTTTAAACAAAAGTTGTAAAAATAATTTTTTTTTTGTTGTTTTTTAATCCTCACCCGAGGACATTTTTTCCATTTTTTGTTCAGATAGAGTGGGAGGGAGAGAGAGGAAGAGAGAGAGAGAGAAACATCGATGTGAAGGGACACATCGAGTGGCTGCCACCCACACGACCAACCAGGGCCGGGGACAAACTGCAACCGAGGTACGTGCCCTTAGCGGGAACCGAACACGGGTCTCTCTGTACCGCAGGCCGACGCTCCAACCGCTGAGCCAAACCGGCCAGGGCTGTAAAAATAATTTTGATTTGAGAATTTTTAATTGTGACCTAAGATGCTACTTAATTGATAACCCATTGCTTCTAAGGAAGAATAAATATATCATTGAGTTTCTGATGGTAGACCAGTGCCTGCTATGCTTAGTATAGTATATGTAGACATTCACTAGATAATTATTGAATGAGTGTGTCTGGTTTATTATTTATATTTTTATTGTTTTGTTGAACCCTTACAGCATATAAATCATTTTGATATTTTTTATTTTATTTGTTCATATCAAAGAGCTGAGGTATTAGAGTTATTATATTAATTTTTCATATGATAAACAATTGTTTCAATTGATTTATACTGTGCTTAAGACAGCAAGAGGCAATTGCAAGATTCATATTCTTAACTCAATATTTTTCAATATATTATAGAAGTTACTATATTGATAAAGCATCTAAGGTCTTACTGTATTTTTAAAAATTTGTTGTATATTGGGCTTTATTTTACTTTGGTATTTTTGTCTCTCAGAATCCACCAAACCCACCTGTACCTGTATCACCTGGAAAGTCTGTAGTTGATGTCAACAGTAATAACAACGTGCCCTACAGGTGAGAATAATAAGCAGTCTATTTGTCAAGTTTTTATTTCCTCACTCATTTCTGCCACCCACCAACCCCCATCTTTGGTAACCACCAATCAGTTCTCTGTACGCGTTTACATTTTTTCTTTTAGATTTCACATATAAGAGTGATCATATGGTATTTGTCTTTCTCTGATTAAATTTACTTAACAGAATGCCCTCAAGGTCCATCCATCCATCCATGTTGGGTCATATGGGAAGATTTTATTCTTTTTTATTGCTAAGTTATATTCCTGTGCATGTAGGTATAAAAGGTTGTTTATCCATTCATCCATAGTTTTACACTTAGGTTGTTTCCATTCTTGTTATTTTAAATAATGCTACAATGAAAATAGGGGTGCATATATTTCTTCTAATTAGAGTTTTTGTTTTCTTCAAATAAATATCCAGACGTGTAGTTGCTGGATCATATGGGAGTTCTATTTTTAATATTTTGAGGAAGCTTTGTACTATTTTTCGTAGTGGCTGCACCCATTTACATTTCCACCAATAGTGTGCAAGAGTTTTAAATAACAAGTGTCAAGTTTTTGAATAAGAGAACAAGGTTCTGATTTTATTTTATAGAAACATCTTGGAATCTAATCTTATGAATTTGTGTAGAGATAAGTGGCATACTGGATTAAGTATATTTCCTTCTTTTTGCTTTGTTACAATTACTCATCTTTGGACATTGGTTTTGCCAATCTATTATAAGGCTTTCTTTGGTCATTGCAGATTTCTTTCATCACTTGTACTAAATAATTTTCTCTCAAGTAATTGAGAGATGCTTTGGTCAGGGGTGATAAAAACTAATGTCTGCACATATTAGGACCTACATTTGGTTTTCAGATAAAAGTATTGAGGGCATTGGAATATAAGGGGAAGAATCTTTCCTAATATCATAGCCCCCCCCTCTCATCCCCCAGCATTCTGAAATCTTTTGTGTTCCTTTCCCTCAGTGCATTCACTTGAAATTTAGTGCTGCAATACCCAAGTCTAGCCACTCTTTTTTCCTATGGGCCACTGCTTTATCTGTACATAAATTGATGTTCCTCAGAATGGCATATCCATGACTATTTTTTTGTGTATATATTTCATAGAAATACAGGTACAGTGAGACAGTTGCTGGAATCCAAAAGAAATGTAAGCGAGAGTACACCGCCATCCTTTCAAACCCCTGTGAATACAGGTAATAATATTTTTTAACACTGAAATACATATTTTAGTAATTGAAGGCGTTGGTTTTCTTTTGACTTTGTTTTGAGGATGAAATTTGTTAAGAAACAGCATGCTGATCTAAAATTGAGTGCTAAGTATAAAATGTTATTTAAACATTAGGATTACATATACATGGAAGTACAGAAATTGAAATCTCTACTGTAGTGGTTCTCAAACTTTCTACTCACTATACCCCAAAGTTTTTGTTTATGTGGGTTAACATTTACTATAGTAAAAATTAAAACAAAAAGTTTAAATGTTTGCTTATTCATTAAAATAATAAACACCTATTTTTGGAACACATATAACACGTTTTAATGAAAAATAACTTTTCTGAGCTTAAAAAATAATGAAAAGAGTGTAATTGCCTTACACTTTTATAAATTTCTTTTATACCGCACATAAAAAATTAAAATGACCTATGAAAGCTGGATTGTCATCTATATCTGCATTCAATCTGTTGCAGTTTGTTTTGATTGAAGTATGAAGAGAATTCAGCCTCATACAAATATGTAGTTAGAAAAGGATTAGCTCTTTTAGAGAATTGTGGTTATTTTCTTTGAAAGTCAGCTATTAACTTATTAAAGGTTAGTTGCAAAGTGGATTCTGAAATCATGACAGTGAATTTTCCTAACTTTTTTATTATACTGCGTTTATCTTTCTGGTATATGCGTGGATCTTTTACTAATACCATTCATTGATCATTTGGAAAATGCTCACTGACTTATATAAATTGTCCAAATGTTGTCACACCTCATTAATAATTTTTAAAAATTACATTAACTTATTTCACTATTGATTCTTCTCAGAAGAGTCTTTAAATATTTGGAAAGCTGCCATGCTCTCAGTGGCAGATAGAAGTTTTTCCAAAGTTCTAATTTTTGTTTTTAAAACTCATATTTTATTATTGTCAATAAATACTCTTGGTCGTTCTCTTTTAAGTGACTGTCTTTCTTGATCTATTTTCAAGAAATGATTTGCCACATACCCAAGTGTGAACCACAGTATGTCTGTAAGTCATCCTTTCAAGTGAAAGTGGTCTTCCATGAAAAAGGCTGTTAGCTTAGCCTTCAAGTTGTACAAGTACTTTTCCTCGAGCCAGCCATCCCACTTTGTCATGCAGCAGCAATGCTTTCTGTGTGCTTTCTATTTCTTTACACAAAATGTTAAGAAGACCTGTACTCAGTGGTAGAGATTTAGTAAAAGTAATATTACTACTTCATCCTGGACATTCTTTGTTTTTTTTTTTAATTTAATTAATTTATTTTTGTTACAGATGTTTCTCCTTTTTCCCCCACTGATTCCCCCCTCTTTCTCCCTCCCCGCCCTGTCCCCAGCTTTGTTGTCCATGTCCATTGTTCATGCATACATGCATAAAAGTTCTGTGGTTTATCTCTCCCCCACCACCCCCTCTTCTGGGGATTGCATCCTGGACATTCTTTTTTTTTTTAATTTATTTTTTTAATCCTCACCCGAGGATATTTTTCCATTTTTTGTACAGATAGAGTGGGAGGGAGAGAGAGGAAGGGAGAGAGAGAGAGAAACATCGACGTGAAGGGACACGTCGAGTGGCTGCCACCCGCACGACCAACCTGGGCCGGGGACAAACTGCAACCGAGGTACGTGCCCTTAGCGGGAACCGAACCCGGGTCTCTCCGGACCGCAGGCCGACGCTCTAACCGCTGAGCCAAACTGGCCAGGGCGCATCCTGGACATTCTTAAGTGAAACTAAATTTGTTTGCTTTTTACTGGGAACATATGATAGTCAAGAATGTAGTGATAGTTTAGTACCACTACCTTGATTTTTGTACTGAAGCATCAGAAGTTTTACTCACCATTGCTTTTGTTCCATCAGTGCAAAGATGTATGTGGTAAAAAAGTAAAATAAAGCTTTATTATTGTTATGAAAGTAATTTTGATATTGCAAGCTCCTGAAAGGGTCTCCAGTTACTCCCAAGTGTCTTTCCCCTGGACTATACCTTGAGAATTGCTGCTTTAAGTGTGCCTGTGATTTTGGAAGAAAGACTAGAAATCAATGAGAAAGATACTTGGCCATATATTTCAAACCTTTTCAAATGAGAATAAACACAAATAGATGAACCAAAATTACCATAAAACTTTAGAGATCATTATTTTGATTTTGTCTGGTTTTAGGGATTAGCTCCCTTATTTCTTAGTTCATCTCCAATCTTCACTCTATCTTCCATATCATATAATGTCAATAGAGTGTCAGTACAGGCAGCCTTCTCTCTCTAGTTCCTGTCCCAGTACAACTTGAGCCACAGATCAGGTTTCACATATTCCAAATGATAAAATACATGACCTATCATTCATTAATACTTATGATGCTTACTAGATTTTCTGTTTGAGATTATATATTGCCAGTGTCCTAAAGCATTAGTGATGTCTTTAGTGTGGTTTCAAAAATATCTATACAGCCCTGGCCAGTTTGGCTCAGCGGTTAGAGCGTCGGCCTGCGGTCCGGAGAGACCCGAGTTCGGTTCCCGCTAAGGGCATGTACAGTACTTCGGTTGCAGTTTGTCCCCGGCCCTGGTTGGTCGTGCGGATGGCAGCCACTCGATGTGTCCCTTCACATCGATGTTTCTCTCTCTCTCTCCCTTACTCTCTCTCCCTCCCACTCTATCTGTACAACAAATGGAAAAATATCCTCGGGTGAGGATAAAAAAAAAAAAATTTATCTATACACTTTTACCAAGTTTTCAGTGTTTTTAGTTACTTTTCCAGTTGCTCTGTAGTGATTATAGTAATTTTCAGAAACTGTTTTGATAATGAGATAGCAGTCCTCCATATTAAACACAAACCATGTGATGTTTTTGTAATGTACCAGTCATAGATGCAAAAAAGCTTCTACAAATTTAATTCTAAGAAGTACAAGAATTTAAATCTGGAAAAAATTGTATTATGAAGGACTTTACTGTATCTACTACAATGCATTAAGTTTGTATTGTACTTTATTATCCTAGCTGATAAATGGCAATAGACATTTAAACTGAGACTTATTTCTTTCTACAGTGTCTTCAACCAATCTTGTCACTCCTCCAACAGTTGTCAGTAGTCAACCTAAATTGCAGACTCCAGTGACTTCGGGTTCTCTGACAGCAACATCAATTCTTCCTACACCCAACACAGCTACAGTAGTTGCCACTACTCAGGTGCCTAGTGGAAATCCCCAACCTACAATCTCTTTACAGTCATTACCAGTGATTTTGCATGTACCTGTTGCGGTATCCTCCCAGCCTCAACTCCTACAGAGTCATCCAGGGACTTTAGTGACTAATCAACCATCTGGCAATGTTGAATTCATTTCTGTCCAGAGCCCACCTACAGTGAGTGGTCTTACCAAAAATCCAGTATCCTTGCCGTCCTTGCCAAACCCCACTAAACCAAACAACGTTCCTTCTGTGCCCACTTCAAGTATTCAAAGGAACTCTCCTGCCAGTGCTGCACCATTAGGAACAACACTTGCTGTACAGGCTGTTCCAACAGCACACTCTATTGTACAAGCCACAAGGACTTCTTTACCCACAGTAGGCCCATCAGGACTTTACAGTCCATCAAATAATCGAGGTCCTATACAGATGAAAATTCCAATTTCTGCTTTTAGTACTTCGTCTCCTGCAGAACAGAGCAGCACTACAACCCCAAGAATTGGTAAGTCACTGTGTAGGTTTAATACTAGAAACAAAAACATGTTAATGACCTATAGATAATTGAATTTTTGTGTTTCTGCGTTTGTGGAAGTGGCTAGCAGTAGTGGAAGAACAGAGTAAATAGAATATCCTGGAGGTCATTTTTAGGAAGTTTTCAGTTACATAAGAAATGAAGTTGTTAAAATGAGAGTTTATTTTGAGTGAGAAGCTAGCGTTTGTATTTATCTTTTAGGAATTTTTCTAATTTGGGTGAATTTTGTATTTAGGCTTTGTAGCAAGCATTATGAATTACTTTTATAATACATTTGCCAGGAATATCTGAATAGAACAAATTTATTTCAAAGTATCTAATTGATGTAATATATGTTTATAAGAGGAAAGTAAACATCACATATTTTCCCTACCCATTTGGAAAAATCGTTTGTGTGCTCATCACTCACATGCTTTAAATTTGAACAGTTTAAAAATAGATTCTGGCCCTGGCCGGTTTGGCTCAGCGGTTAGAGCATCGGCCTGCGGTCCGGAGAGACCCGGGTTCGGTTCCCGCTAAGGGCATGTACCTCGGTTGCAGTTTGTCCCCGGCCCTGGTCGGTCGTGCGGGTGGCAGCCACTCGATGTGTCCCTTTCACGTCGATGTTTCTCTCTCTCTCTCTCTTCCTCTCTCTCCCTCCCACTCTGTCTGTGCAAAAAATGGAAAAAAATGTCCTCGAGTGGGATAAAAAAAAATTAAAAAAATAAAAATAGATTCTGCGCTCTGTAATTTATTATGAAATGTTTGATTTCTCAGTTGTGTATTTTTCCCTGTGACATGATTAAGTATGTATTTATCTGTATACTTTGAAATGTTGTAGAATCTGTTAAACTCTTTTTGTTCTTAGAAAGCATACATTCTGTTTTCTTTTAGAAAGCATACATTTTGTATGCATTCTTTTTTTTCAATTATAGTTGACATTCAGTATTATTTTATATTAGTTTCAGGTACAGCATAGTGGTTAGACATTTATGTAATTTATGAACTGACTCCCTTGACAAGCCTAGTAATAACCACCTGGCACCATAAATAGTTATTACAGTATTATTGACCACATTCCCTATTCTGTACTTTACATCCCTGTGACTGTTTGTAACTACCAATTTGTATTTATTAATCCCCTTACTTTTTCACCCAGCCTCCCAACCATCCTCCCATCTGGCCGCCATAAGTTTGTTCTCTGTATCTGTGAGTCTGTTTATTTTTGTTCTTTAGATTCCACATATAAGTGAAATTATATGGTATTTGTCTTTGTCTGATTTATTTCACTTAGCATAATACCCTGTAGGTCAGTGGTTCTCAACCTTCCTAATGCCACAACCCTTTATTTATTTTTTATATTTTTTTAAATCCTCACCCGAGGACATTTTTCCATTTTTTATTCAGATAGAGTGGGAGGGAGAGAGAGGAACGGGGAGAGAGAGAGAGAGAGAGAGAGACATCGATGTGAAAGGGACACATCGAGTGGCTGCCACCCGCACAACCAACCTGGGCTGGGGACAAACTTCAACCAAGGTACGTGCCCTTAGCGGGAACAGAACCCGGGTCTCTGGACCGCAGGCCGATGCTCTCATGCTGAGCCAAACCAGCCAGTCTTCTGCCTATTTTTTTTTATTTTTATTCCTCACCCGAGACCATTTTTCCATTTTTGGTTCAGATAGAGTGGGAGGGAGAGATAGAAACATCAATGTGAAAGGGACACATCGAGTGGCTGCCACCCGCACAACCCAACCAGGGCTGAGGACAAACTTCAACCAAGGTACGTGCCCTTAGCGGGAACAGAACCCAGGTCTCTGGACCGCAGGCCAACGCTCTAACTGCTGAGCCAAACAAGCCAGGGCTGCCCATTTTTTAAATTGGATTCTTTGTCTTCCTTTTGTTGAGTTGTAGGAGCACTCTATATATTTTGGAAATTAACCCCTTATCTGATGTATCATTGGCAATTAAGCTCTCCTGTACAGTGGGTTGCCTTTCCATTTTGATGGTGATATATTTTGCTGTGCAGAAGCTCTTGAATTGGATGTAGTACCATGTGTTCATTTTCTCCTTTGTTTCTGTTGCCTTAGGTGATGTATCAGTAAAAATTCTGCTGCGTATGATGTCTGAAATTTTGTTGCCTACATTTTCTTCTAGAATTTTTACAGATTCATGAGTCACATTTAAGTCTTTTATCAATTTTGAGTTTATTCTTGTGTATGGTGTAAGTTGATGGTCTAGTTTCACTTTTTTTGTTGTTCTTGTTGCATATAGCTGTCCAGTTTTCCCAACACCATTTATTTGTTTTTTATTAATTAATTTTTGTTACAGATGTTTCTCCTTTTCCCCCCACTGATTCCCCCTTCCCCCTCCCTCCCTGCCCTGTCCCCCAGCTTTGTTGTCCATGTCCATTGTTCATGCATACATGCATATAAGTTCTGTGGTTTATCTCTCCCCCACCACCCCTTCTTCTGGGGATTGTCAGTCTGTACCCCACTTCCACGTCTCTGGGACTACCCCATTCCTCAGACTGTTATGTTCGTTATATTCCACAAATAAGTGAGATCATATGATACTTGTCTTTCTCTGTTTGGCTTGTTTCACTTAGGATGATACTTTCCGGGTTCCTCCATGTAGTCTCAAAGGATAAGAGATCTTTCTTTCTTACAGCTGCATTGTACTCCATTGTGTATATGTACCACAGCTTTTTTATTCATTCGTCTAATGGTGGACACTTGGGCTGCTTCCAGATCTTAGCTATTGTAAATAGTGCTGCTACAAACATGGGGATACATATATTCTTTCTGATTGGCCAACACCATTCATTAAAGAAACTGTCTTTACTCCACTGTATGCTCTTGCCACCTTTGTCAAATATTAATTGAGCATAATGTCTTGAGTCAATTTCTGGGTTCTCTGTTCTGGTTCATTGATCTATATGCCTGTTCTTGTGTCAGTATCAGGCTGTTTGGTTTACAGTGGCTTTGTAATATAACCTGATATCTAGTATTGTGATCCCTCTTACTTTTTTCTTCTTTTTCAAGATTGCTGTGGCAATTCGGGGTCTTTTTTGGTTCCATATAAACTTTTGGAGTATTTGTTCTAGTTCTGTGAAATATGTCATTGATGTTTTACTTTTTTTTTTTTTAATCCTCACCTGAGGATATTTTTCTATTTATCTTCAGATAGAGTGGGAGGGAGAGAGAGGGAGAGAAAGGGAGAAAGAGAGGGGAACATTGTTGTGAGAGGGACACATTGACTGCCACCCGTGTGACCCCGACCAGGACCGGGGATGAACCACAGTTTGAGGTAAGTGCCCTTGGTCGGTATCAAACCCACGACTCATTGGTCCGCAGGCTGATGATATACTGCTGAGCCAAACCCGCCAGGGCTGTGCTTCCACTTTTTTATATCTTTCTCTGTTTCTTTTTTAATGTCCTTTAGTTTTCTGAAAAATAGTTTTCTTTACATCTTTGGTTAAGTTTATTCCTAGGTATGTTAGTTTTTTTGCCACGATGGTAAATGGGATTTTTTTTTTTTTTTTTGTGAGTTCATAATTGGTGTATAAGAATGCCGTTGATTTCTTGATGTTAAATTTGTATCCCTGGGATGAATCCCATTTGGTCATGGTGAATAATTTTTTTAATGTATTGCTGGATCTGTTTTGCTAATATTTTGGTAAGGATTTTGGCCTTTATGTTCATCAGGGATATTGGCCTGTAGTTTCCTTTCTTTGTAGTGTCTTTATCTTATATTGAAATTAGAATTATGCTGGCTTCATAAAAAGAGTTTGGAAGTCTTTGCTTCTTCTTCAGTTTTTTGGAATAGTTTGAGTAAAATGGGTGTTAGTTCTTTGAATGTTCGGTAAAACTCCTTTGTGAAGCTGTCCAGGCCTGGGCTTTTGTTTGCTGGGTGTTTCTTGATTACCTCTTCAATTTCCTCAGTTGTTGTTGGTCTGTTCATTTTTCTGTCTCTTCCCAGTTCAGTTTTGGGAGACTCTGTGATTCTAGAAATTTGTCCATTTTGCCTAGATTGTCCAATTTGCTGGCGTATAATTGTTCATAGTATTTTTTAATGATCCTTTGTATTTCTGTGGTGTCAGCTGTTACTTCTCTTACATTTCTGATTTTGTTTATTTGGGTCTTTTCTTTTTGTTTCTTGGTGAGTCTGGCTACCGGTCCATCAATCTTACTTACCTTTTCAAAGAACCAGCCCTTTGTTTCATTGTTTTTTTTTAATCCTCACCTGAGGACATTTTTCCATTTTTTGTTCAGATAGAGTGGGAGGGAGAGAGAGAGAAACATCGACGTGAAAGGGACACATCCAGTGGCTGCCACCCGCACGACCAACCAGGGCCGGGGACAAACTGCAACCGAGGTACATGCCCTTAGCGGGAACCGAACCCAGGTCTCTCTGGACCGCAGGCCCACCCTCTAACCGCTGAGCCAAACCGGCCAGGTCTCATTGGTCTTTTGAATTGTTTTTGTAATTCTATGTCATTTAGTTCTCTTTTGTCCTTTACTATTTCTTTCCTTGTACTTGCGATGGATTTTTCTTTTGCTTTACTTTCTAGTTCTTTAAGTTGTAAGGTTAAAAAGTCAATTAGAAATTTTTCTTGTTTCTTGAGGTAGGCCTGTAGTGTGCTATGAAGTTTCCTTTCAGGACTGCTTTCACTGCATCCCATAGATTTTGTGTTGTTGTATGTTCATTTTCATTGGTTTCCAGGAAGTTTTTAATTTTTTTAATTTCTTCTTTAATCTCCTTGGTAACTCATTTATTGTTTAATAACATGCCATTTAGCCTCCATGTGTTTGAATGTTTTTGAGTGTTTTTGTAATTCTTTTCTAGTTTCATGCCATTGTGATCTGAGAAGATGCTTGATATGATTTCAAACTTCTTGAACTTGTAGAGATTTAGTTTGTGTCCTAACTTGTGGTCTGTCTTTGAGAATATCCCATGTGCAGTTTAGAAGAATGTGAATTCTGCAGTTTTGA